AACTTTCATGCTCAATTGCATGTATTCTTGTTGCAAAACTAACGATTAGATTTTCAACAAAACAAACCACATCATTCTTCTTAGCTTGAGACAAGCTATCAAATGACTTTGCAATAAACAAACCACATTGGCAAATAAAATTCACAACTACTTCCTTGACAATCATGTTAAAATTATTACGATACAAGATTAGATCATCTTGAACAAGATGACCTAATCTTGTTCCTGGATTTGCGATATGAAAAGTGTATCTTACATGTCTATCACGTCCAGAAGACATTGGATGTATCTAGAGAAGTCGGCTTCCTACTTTGATACTAGTAATGCTGCAAGATTTTGACTTAGTGTTAATATCTGCAACTAATGGCACCAATGAAAATAAAGCAATTCACCACATGATAGTTGGTTTGAAATCATGATTTATTTCCATGTACTCAACAATACGGCCACGATGAGTCAAAAATCAAGACAACATTCTTTTCAACGATAACCAGTCAGTTGTAGCAACTTTTTAACATTTAGATCGCATTTTGTTGATTAAAATTTGTTGTCGGCGCATGTATTTGATAGTAGCAGTTAACGTCAAGTAAATTTTTTTGTTGAGATTTACAAAAACAACTTCTGAACCACAAGATCGAGTTGGTGTGCACCACGTCCAAATTGAATTAAATAGCAATCTTCTTTGTTTCATTCAATTAGAAATACAAATTGTTATTTTACGTACTCTGCATGTGATATTCCGAGCACCATCCAAACATGTTGATAAGATTGAATATCCCAAGAAGTACAAATGTCCTAAACAAGTTGTCTCATTTGTGCTGCCCATAAAGAAAAAAACAACATACATGAAAGCAATACACCATGGTGTCCATAACAAATCTCACCCAAACATCAAAATACGACATGCTTTCAACAATTGATAAATCAAATGTAACAAAAAAGATCCAGCAACCAACAAATATTTTGCTAAGTTTTTGAAGTCAAACGGTGTCACCAACCCGAACAAATGATGATAGCTTTGCATCATTGCATCCGTCAAGATAACCAAGAGCCAATTGGTTGGGTGCATACTTCATTTGACGTCAAATTAACCTAAACAAAATCTATTTGTCTAATAACAAGCTGAAAAAAATTAATGTTTCTTATATGAAATTGATAACATACAATCAAATTGTCGGCTTTGATCGGCTCAAATAATCTCAACGCTTGATTTGATGGAATTATTTTTATCTTGGAGATCAAATAGAAACGTGCTTAGAATTATGTCACTTATGTTTAGAATTATATCAAATTATGGCCTTCGTCGATATGAAACCTTAAAGTATTATGTAATCCTAACCAGTTTGCGCTTTTGTAAGATTTTTTCTTTACTGCCCCATACTTGACAAAAGCGACACAAAACGTATGATGGTTTCCACATTAAGATCTTCAGTCCACACTCATGTTCATGAGCAACGTTAAATGGCATTTCACGCTTTTTTGACAACATTTCATCAACAGTATATTCTTGAACAGCGGACAAGAGCGACGTCAAGTGATTTTCAAACTTATATATAACATCACGCAAAAATCATTTATAACAAATGTGACAAGTTCGTAGTCAAATGCCATATTTGAAGAGTTTTGCTAAACACACATGCTCATTTTGTATAATTGACATGTATTTTTAGTTTCTTGAATATCATAGATTCATATTTAACAATGTTAATTTTGTATAATTGGATTATATTTTTATTTTCTTGAATGTCATGAATTCATATTTAACAATGATATGTCTATGATATTTATTTCAAGAATCAATTATTGAATTAAGGTTAACTCAGTCCATATTATGTAATCTTCTCTTGATATGTTAAGTATATTCTTTCATTAATACCAAAGATAAACCAAAATAATTTGATGATAAAACAACATCTTCTAAACTCTATAGTTGTTTATACGTCCCAAGAGAGTCAACACTTGCATTGGATGAACGAGTCTATTACTCGAAGCTAAAACTTCTTTAGTTGTACCAAAAAAATCTGTAGTGATAATTTCCATTTGGTTAGTTTCAAACATAAGTTAAAGTGTAGTCAGGTATGAACCGAATTTAAGTTATTTCTTACTCACGTCTTCTCTTCAACCCCCTCAATTGACATAACATGATAATTTTGACACTATTTGACTCCAGTTTTTGTTTCTACCTTGGGAGTTAAAATGCTTATAATGATCTGGCAATCACATATGACAGTGGTCTACGCTGAGCCAATACAAGACTCACATAATGTATCAAACACTTTAAGTTCAAAGTCCAACATTTTCTTGATCCAATACGTGTCCTTATGATGTATCCAACAAAGTAGGTTTTGTCAGAACACTAGTATAACAGCTTAGATCTGGCTTCAGGGTTGCCTTCCATCAACCTTGCATGCCAAAATCTCATACAGCTATATCGTTCAATTTAACCATGGAAAAAGCTAAAAGACTTGTTTATATTTCTGGCTCACGCAATCTCGCACTTTCCATGAGTGAGTAGTAAGCGTAGGCTTCGATTGTATGGGGCTGTTTGTTCATCAAAAGATTGCTCCACCACAGACGCGATGATGTGCACAAGATCCTATCTCGTTTTAAAAAAGAACAAAAATAAGCAATCGTCCAGTATTCAATGATGTCAGTTGAATTGTGATCTTAATAGTTTGTGTGACACGTAATACGGACGCAGAGAATTTTCTACGATACATCTCAGTGATTGGAATCAACAGTAACCATTCTTCAGGAAAACAGAACAACATACATAGTATTCTTCTGTTTGTAATGCTGTTTGCGTTGAACCGGTTTTTTAATTATATATTTGACCTTTTATCTACATTGTCAATTCACAGTGTGAAGGTTGTAAAATTGGTTTTAGTTTACTTATAGATATTCAAAATTATATTGAATCAATTTACCTATTTCGATTCAAAATGTAACATTCCCTTGAATCTTTTTATTATATAGATTAATGACTATAATTAAATTATTAAAAACATTACATTGATCGAGAGTTAAAATTCCAATAATCTACTGTGAATGACATCCTTTCATTAGTGGGATAAACTTCCAAAATCATTAATTTATAATTCGTATGTAAGTTGCTTATTTTTCATTAGTGATATATAGTGATTTTTCATTATTATTTTTCAAGAGTGAGTTCAAATTCCAAAATCATTAATTTATAATTCGTATATAAGTTGTTTATTTTTCATTAGTGATTTTTCATTATTATATTTCAAGAGTGAGTTCAAATTCCAAAATCATTAGTTTTTAATTCGAAAATAAATGACATACTCTCATTAGTGATTTAAAATTCTAAAATCAACAATTTTTAATGTGAACCAATTTCTAATACAACACTATTGCCAACGGTGAAATGGTTCTATCCAATGATTTATCATAATTTCGGAGTTACAATTCCTATCATCATCATATGAAAAAATATGACATAAGTTTATTTGAAGGTCTATATCAACAATTTACTCTTTAAATGTCAGTAAAATACTTTGTTACATATATTATCATCAATTGTTTCACTCAAATTTTAGATTTGAAAGCAATTACAATTCCTATGAACAATACAATTATGCAAGTGAATTCGATTCTGAAACCAAAAATTTATGGAATGTCCCAGAACGAAATACTATGTAATGTAGCATGCGCCTGATTTATATAAATGATACCTCCCAATAGTGACATCTAACCCCAACACCAGTGTATGTTACTATGATGAGGTTATATTCAAGATTAGACACTTCCCACCACTGACATCCAACTCTAACACCAATGTATGTTACTTTTAAGGTTCTACTCAATTTAAATCATTTTGCTCTTGTGAGTACACCTCACCTCCCAATAGTGACATCTAACCCGAACACCAATGTATGTTACTACGAGGAGGTTATATTCAAGATTAGACATCCAACTCTATCATCAATGTATGTTACTATTAGAAGGTTCTACTCAATTTGAATCATTTTGCTCTAGTGAGTGACACCTCCCAATCGTCACTATTGCGAGGTTTAACTCTATACTCGGAAATTCGAGTAATGATGAAATTAACAATACTCCTAGGATGTAAGTGATTAAGATGAACATTAAAACTAAATATGTCTACACATCTAGAAACATCCAACACATTATTCCTTATTTTAGCTTTATTTGCTAATAGCTTCAATTCTTACTTCAAATGACGCCTTAACCATCGACTTATGTCATAGGTTTCAAAAAATGATACAATGTCCACCACCAAAGTAGTCAAGATGCAAGTGATGTCCTTGACGCTCTTACCTGCCAGGTTCAAGAAGAGCAGTCGGCTTCTCCTCTAGTTACCTCTGCCTACGACGACTCCCCATGAAGCTTTTGTCCCAAAAGCTTGATGACAAAAGCCAAAGCTTGATGAAGCTTTGGCACCATGAAGCTTGATGTTCCTTTAGCAAAAGCTAAGGAACATTCGTGGATTTAATACATCAGTGCGGATCTAAGGAACAGCTGCCGGTGTTTAGGGTTGTCATATCATCGTGAAAAGTGGGGAAGTTGCCCTTTAAATACATCATATTGCGACGAGAACGTAGACTTTACATGAACTACAAAACGCAGATGTTACGAGTAGGGGGCATGAAAGGACATCTGGCATAGGAGAGGAAGTGACTTTTACCCTACTTCAAGGTGAGCACTCGACATGAAGTCAAACGCATGCTAAGGAACATTCGTGGATTTAATACATCAGTGCGGATCTAAGGAACAGCAGGAGTAGGAGACTTGGCCTTGGCCACAGGCAGAGTTGGCAGCTCCCCATCCCCGAAGCTCTGAAACTTTGTTACGCGTGCGGGAACTGATCACTGAAAACCATATCTACCACAACTGAACACGACGAGGTGTACTGACATCCATGGCTCTAGAATGTGGGAGCCAACTTAGGTGAGCAAATAAAGCGGGAATCAAGACAATATGTACGTAGGTTACAAGCAATTGTGAGTAAACGACTGCGAGGAAAAATCATGTCCGTAAATATGGTATATGAGGCCTTGCCATGGTATATGTACAAATACGTGTGGAGTCCAGAGCAATCAAATGCTCTTCTTAGACACGATAAAATGCCACTGCTCACCAACTAAGTCAGGAGGCGTTCATACCGAAGGAAGAAACCTGTAAAGTGCGGAATCAACTGCTAAGAGCGATGTTCAAATATGCCCTGCTCTTGGTTCCATGCAATTGCCTTACGCCTATCCCTACCTCTAACAGTTCGTGATCCTACCTGGCCGGTTGTTCGATCCGCAAAGCTACTGGTCGATGAAGGGCCCTGGCCTCCGAGTAGAGAGGTCTCATTATCAACATGGCGATCAAAGAGCATGCTAAGAAGTGCTACCTGATGGGCCAGAATGTAATTCACTTCGGACCTCGATAATATACCTGGAAGATGGATGTTGATCTGCGAGGAGAAACGAAAGGTGAGCGACTTCGAAGCAAATATTGAACTCCTTAGTCTACAGACGCAAACCTCATACATTTCCACAAAAGCTAATGACGCCTAAACCTTGGTAGAACCCTCTTGCCAGTCAAACGGGAGGTATGACCGCTCCATCTTACCTCAGCTTCGATGGCTCGAAGTTCATTGAACCAGTTGTCGACGTTAGCCTCTCCAATGACCATGGACTCAGTTACATCCAGCACACCACGAGGAGGAGCTGGCAAAGCAGACAATTCCTTATTCCCAGGTGGTAGTATCCGCAGCAGGAAGTGAGGAGGTCTCAGGGGATATTCGAGAGTCACCTCTACCTGAATAGTCCGACAAAGAACCCATTAACAACACAGGCTGTCGTGACCACAAGAAGAATAATCAAACACAGTGTTAGCAAACTATTGCAATCGTCAGCAAGTGACTTCAGCCATACCTGGGCTTCGAGCTCAAGGCGTTTTCCACCAGGTACATTGTCCCGACGCAAAACAGCTCGGTATCTGTGAGCTCCATGCGACTCCCATCCCCATCTGCTTTTGGATCCATTAGTATCGTCTGCGGCTTCTTCCGCAGATGGATCAGGTTCTAGACCTTCCATACCATCCTCCATAAGGGCATCAAATTCCGTACCAAGTGAAGATCCCAAACCTCCCAAACCTGCACCTTCTCGAGGTGTTGGTGATGGTTTCACTGAAGCGGTCTTTTCTCGTCGAGACCTTCTATCTCCGCTGGATCCCTTGGATGATGTATCCACTGCTTCTTTGATTCCATTCACGGGTGACCCAGCTCCTGGCGCATCATCTTGAACTACGTCCTTTCCACTGGACAACTTGCTCCCACTAGAAGGCGCTCCGGCTGAAAGCAGAGGCACGGCAGAAGGTAGCTCTCCATCCTCCCTGCCTGCCTCGATTTCACCTCCTGCTGTGAGTAGGCCAACTACGCCCATGGGTTCCTTGTTAAATAAAAACCCTGTAGTTTGCGAAGCGCCACCGGTTAAGGCATACAGAGAGCTACGATGATGATCTTGGCCCAAGGGCTCTACTTCGTTCCAAGTTCGCAAGGTGCATTTAGGGGAATGGACAACCCATGGTAGCGTATTAGACTTCAGAGTAGGCTGCTTCAACTTGGAAAGCGACTCCAGTTGCTCTCTGCACCACTCATCCAGAAGAAGTGAGTATCAGAAAAGAACTCACAAGGACAACACTACTCTTCGCTGCTTCACCATATATCACGGGCTTTCAAAACAGAAGTCCATGTATGACGGGATATAAGGGCTATGCCTCCTCGGCTCATGAGCAGAGGAGAAAACTGCTCTAGCTTAACTCACATCAGGATTTCGTTGAGACCAGGCAGGACCCTCCAGGAACGTATGTGTTATGTTCAGAAGTACAACTTCATCCGCTGCCTGTGAAGGAGACTGTTTCGACGATCTCGGTCTTAATACAGAGAGTTGCACTCTGATATAAGTAGATGGCTTGCTGGATGCGGTAGACTACAGATAGGAGAGACTACCGAAGCTGCCATCCGACTGATAACATTGCTAAAACACATTAAAAGGATTGCCAAGGATAGCCAAAACAAGTGCGTGAAGTTAGCTGGTTGTTGATTTAACGGATGATCAAGTGAAGATTCAAACTACATCAGAGGAGAGAGAAATATGTTCCACAGATAGAGGTAAGCAGCTCTATTTCTCGTTCATGGCTTCCTTCAGGGCCCGGTCTAGGACTCACAGGAGTGTTGACTCACTTCAGAGCCAGCTGTGCCTTCTTCCGACTTCGGAGCTGCTGCAAGACAGTGAGAACCCGATGTTGCTGCCTGTATGTGGAAAGGCCGACACCTACTGCAACACCACCTGAGGTGTCACCGTTGATGGAGCCGACTGGATCTGGCAAGAGCGGGGGCGTTTCCGGAAGAAAATCAATGCCAGCCAGATGCTGCGCCCATTTATAAGGTCGCAACAGACGATTTTCGTCATAGACGAATCCTGATCCGGCTTGGAGTTTAGAAACCTGTGACAATTCAAAACACCAGTCATTCAATCATTAGACCAAATTTGGTACCTTTCATGTGGTTTGATGTACTTTTATCATGAACGACTAATCCTGCATAATCTGCTGCTCGAAGCTTTTAGTTAGATGCTATCATAACAGCAGTAAATCACTTTTCTTCACAGTCAATCTGGAAGACTCATTTAGGGGTGTTGTCAATATGTACGCGAGATCATTCCTGGATTTGAACGTATGCATATCAGATTGTCAAGGCAAATGACAGTTTCAGGATGAACCACTTAGAGATGTAAGTGAGCTTCTCTTCACATTACGCACAACCTCCCTTTCAATGAAAAAAACAATAATGGAAGTTATGATCCCACACCTGATTGGGCAGATCCAAGCCCGTGTCATTGGGGAAGAGGTTAGCCAACAGATTGCTGGAGTCAGTAACTTGACTGGCGCCTTCGATACCAGCACAAACAACGTTCAGACGAGAAAGGTATTCAAAGCACACTGTGAGCAGTTTGTTTGCCTTCTCCGTTCCGAGCTGCTCGTTATCAAAAATCTGGAGCATGATCGTCAAGGGATGAACCTGGTACATTCCCATTCCATCTGCAGTTTCCTTGTCATGAGATTTTTTCACTCTCTTTCGACGCCTTTGCGAATCATCTTCATCTTCACGCGCATCTTCTTCCAGCTTGCTCTCGTCTGAATTCCCAGCTGCTGCATCTGGAGTTTGACCACTTTTTAGATCGAGACCCATAACTCGGATTCCATCTACTGCTCAACAACATTCGAAAGTTCAAAAAGTGTCCATACGCTACTTCAAAATGGAATTACCCAAGCAACCGTACACACCAAACATTCATCATAAACTACAGAAGAGAGGTACTGAGAAAACTAAATCACAAAGCTCCAAAAAGTTTCTATTTGCGGAAGATACTCACTGGCTTCCCTGTTGGCAAGTTGCCGCGCTATCATCTGAGCATCCTTCGCACTTCCAACGATCTCAAGCTCTATATTCTCCCCAAAAGCTTCCTTCTGTGAAAGAAGCTGTGAGTAGAGAATATACAAAGGAGGAGGTAAAAGTTCCGCCAATTGGTGCTGTTTCACACGCTTTGTATGCAAAATGCCCAATTGTTGCTGTACAGGTAAGGACGCTTTCTTTAATGCCTTCAGGTGACCAGGTAAGCTTGACAAGAACTTCCGCCTGTTAGCTATACTCTCCTGTAACATTTTCTTGCGAGCTTCTAGCACTTCCTGGTGCTTGCAAAGCTCCTTCCGCTGCAAGTTTGTCATAGTCCAAACACAAGACGCTAGATTAGTAAAAGGTGCCATGAGGAACAAACTTGCCGCTCAAACATTATGACCGAGACAGCTTTGAAGAAAGCTAATACCTGATGTAGCTCGAAGTTCAAACGCTGCAGCATCAGTTTGTGGGGATCCTCTTTCAGTCGAGGATTGGCTTTCAGCTCATCTGGAGCATCTCTAAAAAAATCCTCTTCCGAAACCAGTTCAATGTCAGGATACTTGGATTTGAAGTCTTTGCAAGCTTTGATGGCCTTCAGGTAGTAATTCTTCTCGTACAATAGATTGTGGAGCTGAAGCGAGGTGTGATCAACTGGAAGCTTCGCTGAATCTGTTTCGGCCTTCACCCGGTCCTCCTCTTGAAGAATTAACCGATTGACCTGTACGTGTGAAGCGCCCATTGAATAACTCAACTTGCCAATTCAGTATATCTTAGAGAAGTCAACGGCAGTCAGTACATTAACATCAATAGCATCAGAATTCAAAAACGAAGCATGCGAATTTGAAAAGGAAAATACAAACCTGTCGTAGATCAACAAACATGACAGATGATTCCGTCAAAAGTTCCCTTAAATTAATGTTGCTCCCTCTTCCTTCTTTCTTCACCTGCAACATCTTGGCCAAAATATCTTCTATGGAAGATCGAATGTCCCCCAAGAGCTCATACGACGTCTTCGCCATAGCTGTCGCGCTTCTACAGTGGTCTGGGCACTTACGGTGAACCCTTTAAAGTTTTCGTCAATCAAAGGAACCCCTTGGAAAATATTCCTTCACACTTGAACACAAGCACCTATGGACAAAAACAAAGAGAAAGATGAGTGACAGATAGAAGTGTGGCGAATTGCTGACAAAAACTGGGATTGCACAATCAAGTACGTCAGAGTCGTCCTTGATTAAGCAACACCTTGATGAGCTTTAGCTCCAAAGGTTGGACAGGGCTAACGCTCTTACAAGCAGCATCGACACTACACGTGCTGAACACAGTGAATAGAAAACACACACGTTGACAACCTTCAGGAACCACGGAGTTATGGACGAGGCTTAGACCCCTCCTCACTGAATTCACTTAACCCTACACAAGAACACGACTGCCAAGAAGCCACAAATAAACCTCATAAGAAGTAAGATCCTGCAGGAATGGTATTGCACTTGAGACATGAGATTACTTACTGCCCCAAAATTTTCGCTGTCATCTCTGTAGAAGGATCATTCAAACGGAAGTATGAATACACCCAGACACATGAAAGAAACACTCTCACCGTATCAGGAACAGGTAGTAGCTTGGGAACAAATCGCCACACTAATAAGATTGTAGTGATTGGATGTATCTGAACATACAATTACCGTCTGAGAAAGAATGAAGGAAATGCTACGTTCAGAACATCCACCATGGGCAATGCAGACGCCAAACGCTTAAGAAAGATGTTTTCCAACAGTGTAATCGAACAAATTCAGGCCAAAGAAGATAATGTCCGAGGTCACGGCCTCGTACATCGCTCTATCAAAAAAGGAAGTTCACAAGTACGTAAACAAGGCCTCGAACGCTCGATGCCCGTATACGAGGTCAGCAAGAACTCCAGCACAGAATTCAAGCAGCTAAGGAATACAGCCAAAGCCATTACATTCCTCGCTGGCTGACATAAATCACAAACATCTTCGGAATGCTCGATGAGGGCATACATTCAGGACTGACCAGTAAACACAGACCTCAAATTCGGCTCAGTTTTGCCGCGCTTCGTGCTCCAAAAAGGTCCCCATTGACGCCATTCCCGCAGCTCGCATGACAGGTCTTCGCCAATGCCGCGACACGGAAGCTTATGGAAGCTGGTCCGAATCCGAGAGTTGCGATCGGGTCCTCGAAAGCCGATGGCCGCCCTTTCAATCGGACCTCGATTAGCTCGATATGTGTACACGCAATTAATCGAGCGCGGGTAAAAGTAGGACTGCGCATTTAGGTTTCATACCAAACGGCCATCTTGTTAACCACCCGCGCTCTTTACCCGACGGGACATTTGGTTGGATTATGAAACCTTGTGACAGTCGATTATCCTCTAGTTTAAACCGGCTTTCCTTCGTACTCTTCCCTCCTCCTGCACTCGCTGTGCCTAAATTTAACAACGAACTCATTCCATTAATTTCTAAAGAGATGGGACTGGATAATGAGCAAAGAGGAAGGTTATTTTTAGTCTAAAGTTTCGTTACCGGCATATGTCGTATGGGATCAATACATTTTTGAACCAGGGTTTTTTGCATGTCCTCGGATTTGTGGTGTTACACTTTTAGGTGTGTCGTAGTCACATGATTCCTAAACCAGTACAATGATGGGTTTGATAACAACCATAGTAATTTCACTGTACCTATATTCAAAGTAAGGTGATCTTGATTCACATTATATACATTATTGGAAAGTATATTCAAGCAAATCTATGAAGATTTTAAATCGTCCTAATATTGTGTATTATCTCACCATGAATTGAACGTATCCAAATTATATGCCAAAATAACATGCAGACAGTGTTATCGGGTTATCTAACTATGCTCAGGTACATATTTTAAAGAGAGACGGCTTATTCCCTGTGATTGAGATGATATAAAATATATTCTTACAAAGCTTGGGTTAGCCTCCCAGGAAGAATAAAATATCAATCTTGTTATTTAATGTATGAGTTGTTGCACAATAGAACAATTAATGTAACAATGAAATAATACATATATTGCAACCTTTGGCATGAATATGATTTAAATTGGAGTGATTGAGGAAGGAAGCTAGATTATAAATCAATCATTTGCAACTTCAACTTTTATATAAACTTATAAATTGCTGACAGTCAGTAAAAAAATTCCAATAGAGGACTCAAAAATTCTTTCCAAAAGTTTCGAAATTTTTAATAAACCATCGGAATTAAATTAAATTAAATTAAATTTCTTCATTATATATTATAAATTTTTTTGGAGTTTTTAATAAGTACAAACCTCATGAAGTTCGAAACTATTGAATTATATCTATCTAACTTATATAGCGTTCACTTTTTGAAAAATATTTCTGTGACTTGAATTATTTTATTATTATTATAATATAGAAAAAATAACAATAAGTAAATAGCGCATGTACTCTGTCTTATTTTGAAGATACTAACGTAAATTTGAATTTATAAATGATATTTATGTATCAAAAAATTGCTATTTTTTGTTAAAATTCATCATTAATGAAGTCTTAAATATAATCTAAAACTTTTTCTCAGTAAAAAAATGTAGCTGATACGAATAAAAGCATTTTTTAAAAATTTGAAATTTTTTTATCATCTCCGATGATTTTTTAAAGCATCATTTGCATATATAATAAGTTATTTTTGTAATATTATGATTGTGATGAAAATAAAGTAGAATCAGATAAAAATTTATTTTTTGGCAAAAAAGTATGTTTGGAGGTTTAATCTAAAGCAATTACGTTCAAAAAAACATGCAGAAATAAAATCATTTGTGTTTTTATGATGTAGAATACAAAAAGCTTCATCGAACACATTTGAATGAAAAAATTGAAGATTAATGTAAAATTAGTCTTACTCCAATTTATTATTTAAGAAAAGTTATTCTAATGTACGTTGATATTAACAAATTTTCACACATGATCACAATGATATGAATTTTCTAATGACAGTGATTTAGAAATTTAATATAAATCAAATAAAAAAGTTTAGTGTTGGATAAGCATTAGAATTTTATTTTTTTATAATATTTTTTAAATTTATTTAAAAAATTTAATTTAAAGGTACAATTTTAATTTAATACACTTAATTGATAAAAAAATTTAATTTCATACAAATTCCCCATTTTAAAAATTCTATTAATAATCAGTTGAAATGTCATCATTTCAAATAAAAGTAAATATGTAAAAGTGACAAAATATAATATAATCTAAATAATTAAAATAATCGAAATAATATTTTTAATCAGTTATGTTTTGTATATTGAGTTTAAACGTATGTGACCGTTGTTTTAACAATATGAATATTTTTGTTATACATTATTATCTAAGTTTAATTTAAAATTGAAATTTTCATCATAATGATGTTTAAATTGATCAATAATAAAATTGAGTTTCATTTTGATGGACAATTATTTAATAAATTTGATGTTGTTTGATTCATAATAATAATTTATAAGGGTTTCTATTTGATGATATTTTATTTCATTGGAATAATATTCATTTCTAAAGAAAAAAAGCTGTGTATAAAGTAAGAGATAACAAAAATTATATGTGATTCATTTTTTTCCCACAAATATTAAAAGTTTTTGTGAAAAAAACTTTAAAATCAGTGTTGACAGATTTATGTTAGAAAGTAATTGTTATAAAATTATATAAATTAAATTTTATTTCATTAAATCTTATTTAATGAAATTTACATAAAACAATATTCATCTTCTCAACTATTTTTTGTTTATATGAAACACAAACATAATTTTTGAATTTTGTAAATAAAATAATATGTAAATATGTACATTGAGAAATATCAGTACAACATCAACTTCAAAAGTATCATAAGTGAAAAGATTATGGTACTACACATAATCATGTTCGCGAACAAAAAATCGATGAACGATTAAAATATGTCAAGTAAAAATATACAAGTCTACAATTTTGACATTGTACTCATGTTTATAGAATAATGATATATAACAGCATTCAGTCCATTGTATATCTTGTTTTGAACAAAATGTCAAGATTGCATGCTTACAATATGGATGCATTCGTTTGTACTTACTAGTGTTGATTATTTATCATATTAAATTATCATTTACATGTATTATGTGTTAATTTATGGATCAAAATTATTCATATGTATGTAAAATAAAAAAGAATGAAGACAAGTCAATTAATCACTCATAAGTAATTATGAATAAACTTTAGTGAACCTTAATTTATGCTTTAAAAAATATTTTCTGTAAAAGAATGGAAAAATGCAAAGAGAATCACATAAATCTAATTATTCACATGAACTTTCAATAAAAATTCCAAAAATTTATGTAATGTATGTTATGGAATCATTTGATTGAATAAATCAATAAGCAAAGAAAATGTTGAACATGTATATGAACATCTATTCAATCTGTTATCAGAATTTTATTTCATAATAAATTTAATAAATAAATAAATATACAATTTATCAACATTTTTGTTGGCAAAAAAATATAAATTTTGAATTGTTTTGGAATTTCGAAATCAATTGAATTTTTGATATTTATTAATCGTTATGTTTGTTTCCTTGCATAGTAGAAATGTTTGTTGTTATTTGATTATTTTCTTTTTTATATGCTTTTCTCATGATATTTTTAGTTGAAATGTATTAGTTTTTTTAGTATAATCATTTTGTATACAAATGATTTTGTTGTAACGAAATTTACATGCATATGAACAACTTAAATTATTCATTGAGTTTGTTTGTCTACATGCAATTTATATTGTCATTTGCAAAATACAATTAAAAACGAAGTTACAACATGTAGATTGCATCACATGTTAAGATTTAGTATCAATCATTAAATATTTGTATTTTACTAAATTGTGATCTTATAGTATGATATAATAGATGCTGGATATAACAAAGATGCATTAGATCATAGTTTTTCTCGTAGATTAGCTACATATGATGTAGCAGCATGGTGCTTAACCATTTTGTATCATATTGTATGTAGAGCCATGTGTTTTTTCTCACACGTTTGCACGTTAAAAATTTGTACCTTGAGACTTTGAACTTTCTAGTGATATTTTTTGATGTAGATGATACATGAGGATGATGTTGCAAGAATAAATTTTCATTGAATACTGATACGATTTACAACGACATTTTGATCCACATCAGTTACAAATTGTCCCATCATGAAATTATGATACAGTTTCATTACAAGATAGATTACTCTTAAAAAAATAATTAAAGGTCTAGATATTTCGTCTCAAAGTACTATGCTATAGCGCATATAATGATTTTTTTTAGATATTTCATATATGACAAATGATGCATATTTTTTCCGAAATTTTTGTACTCAACCATCTATCATGCATTGTTAGTTTTTCACATAAACTTTTATCATACTGAAATAATTTTCATGAGTCGATGACTTTGATGATATAACAAAAATAAATGAAAAAAAAAGAAGTAAATGGACAAACAGTTAATATAAAGACAAATACGTTCGATATTGTTGAGTAATTTTAATTCATTATCATAGGTGAAAATGAGAGTATAATTTTGATAGTTGGACAGCTTAAACATTTTTTTTAATCTCATTTGTGATTGTGATGGATATATATGTAAGAAATATTAGCTAAGTCAATTCTTCAAAAGATACTTTTATAAATGATGAAATAACATAATTTTTTTCCCCAAAATCACAAGAATATAAATAATTTGTTTCCTCTCATTTTTTGACTAGATAAGATGCCTACATATTATTTTGATGGACTTTTTTTAATATAAAAACACCATTATCTGCCTCCATCGAGATGGAAAGTGTTCATAATCTTCATGTCTATGTTTTGCTTTTGAAAGTATGCATGCTATTGGATATTGATTTGATCATGCATTATAGTTTCTTTTAACTTGCACGCGTTAACTGTCTTAAAATGGTGATAAAATATCTTAGCTCAATATGTACCCATGGATCTTCATTACTCTAATCTTTACTTGATAGCATGTGGTCTGAAATAGATGTTCATCATGACGGTGCAAAAACTCATCTCGGCAGCAACAACAATCATGTAGAAGTTTATAAGAGCAATGTTTTCAAACAACTTCGTATCAACGACAAGTGGCTTGTTTGTGGTTAAAGTACACATTTTGTCAAAGACAACACATTTCATTTGTATCCACAACCCAGATTGGACGTACTTCCCTAACATGCATTTAGCAACAGCAAACTTATCTAAACTTGGTTCACAATGAATATGTCATGGAAAACAGTTAAACACCATGGTATTTTAAAACCTTGAGTAGCAAGGCATGATCC